TACAACTGCTATTTTGCTGACACTTTCACAATTACGAACGTATTACTGGCCGAAGTACCCCTGTCGTATACGGGTCCATGCATTCCTAACGTTGAATTCAAAATCACTTCTATTAGGCACCAAATTGGAGTCTTGAAACTCGCTTTCAACCGGACCCAGATGGACCGTCTTCGGCACTTCTAAAGTATGGCGGTCACGATATCCCAGTTCTCCTATTGGATTTATGTACTGCAGCCATTAAGTCCCCCGGGGCACATCTATCCGAATTCGCTCAGTCACTTGTTTGCGCAAGGTAAAGTCTAAACCCTTGTTCCGACTAAAGGCGCTGTCTCAGAGCGACGGGGTTGCAACAGTTGTTGACTGTAGAACTGTCTTCACAACACAGGGAATGTTGACTTTGGATTATTTGTGGCAGTTCGAGTGGTACGGGATCGCCATCCGATGATCGGATGTAGCGAGTCACCACGTAGGCTCTGGATGGAGTCAGATTCGTTATGTCCATCCACTTATCTCTCGACTCGAGTAGTTGAGAATAATCAATTTAATTATTTATTTAGTTCACACACCGACTAGATAGTATCAATAAAACTATGGAGTGAACTTTCCAAATGACAAATGGCGGGTCCGGTTCGTACAGTTCACATGACCGGACTGAATGCATAGTTAAAGAACCTTGTTTCCTTTGTGCAAATTTTCGTCCACAAATTAAGATGCCCGCAAAACTTTTAGGTATACAACTTAGCTAAATAGCAAGCAGTCCAAGTTGCGAATATCCCAACTGGCCTCGACTTGGTGGCAATATATATTAAAGTCATGAGTCAGTCACTGCGAGGAAAGCTTATCAGTGAACCGTCCATAGCGCATTCAGTGTAAAAATTTCTGCAGTGTGCACTACATTAAAGGAAATAATGCACCACAAGCCACCTGAACGCAGACGGAACGTAGCTTATTTATCGTTGTACTGAAGTGATAACGGCCAATTTCTTGAATTCGCCATACAAAACAAGGTTCTTGTGAAGTCCTACGACACCTAGAACCGATAATTAAACTGCAAAGCCTGATAGTACTGATAGTCAGGTTGGCGTTTGTGCGATGCTGAGTTAAACAAAAAGAAAACCTCAAAACACTTGTGGAACAGGTTTATTCAGTATTTTCTACCTGAGCCAGATGAAACTATGAGAGCGTGATGTTACGAAGTGCTCTACAGGGGTTGGTTCGCCAACTAAATAGCAATGTAAGGATCGTCCGTCGTGGGAGCCCAGATGTGTCACCGCCCGAACCGTTGGTGTAAGGCTAGACAATGACCGGATATTACATAGTTTGGATAAGAGCTAGAACTGGACTAGAAATGATAACGGTCACAAATGGACTGGTAAAAATTGAGCCCTTATAATCTCGCGGTCAGAAGCTTGTAGGTGAGGGATCCGATTTGTGGTTCCTCACTCTTGTTTGACACTTCAGCTGAAGCACAGAAAATAGGAAACAATTCTAAGGGAAATTATTTGAGCCGAGGTATCCGAGGCAAATGCGTACGCTAAAAATACATAAGCTTATAAGGTTGGGAATAAGATACTGTTGCTGAAAGTAGCCAGCACAAACTGGTCTGTGACGTGATCCCTCGAATGCCGTCTGGAATGCTGTGCCTTAAACAATTGTGGTCTGCTTTGGATTGACAAGCAAATATTTTTGGCACAGATACCGCATAAATGTGGATGTAGCATACTTTCGGTACAATTTGTTTAGGTCATCCACCTTTTGGTGGTGACGTCGTGAGTAACCGAAAACGGAATTCACAAGAGGAAGATCAGCAGGTTGGAACAGTCACTGGATGGCAAAGGGTTAAACATGGTCACATGAGAAGCTACTGTACAGTGACATCTAGCTAAACAAAATGAAGCTCGTTGACTCATTATAGGCTCTAAAGGAACACCCGAATTTTGGATTGCGATACTCAAATGTAGCAGGTCGATCACCCTCTGAAGGCCCGGTAGCCTAGAGAAAAGTTCTCAGAAGATGCATTTTAGCTACCATCAGAAAACAGGTCATACTGCTCTAATCTGCTATCCATTGGCGTAGCACTCCGAACAGGTTCATGAAATATGCCCATAGAGATATAAGCATTTAATATATCGAAGAAATTTGTTTTTCACAATTGTATTTGAGCCCATAGATATATGAAAACTGGTTGAATCATATACTCAGAAAGCTAGTCTAGGGTTGGTCAAGTCTACATAGGCTACTTCGCTTGTCGATCCAACTCTTCAATCGACAATGCTAGTCACACACACGCGCATACACATATGCATGCAATACACGACGGTTCGTCCGTCCGATTAGGTGAACGGCGCTCGCAGTGAGATTACGGCCACAGCAAAAGAAATATCTCACTTAGCATCGTTTGCTTGCACAGTTCACATTGCATTAGCCTGATCGCAGTGGCTTCGGCGGTCATCAGTAAGCGACTTTTAAATCATTTTAATTAGCGTTTTGGCACGACGTAGAAAACCACCATGATTTTCTTGGTCCCGAACATAGTAGTGTGTTTGGAAATTACCAATCCTAACCTGGCTTTCTTATCATATCGCAATGTTTTAACCATTTTCATATACGCATTGACTTGATGAGAATTGCAATAAAAAAGCACGTTTTAACCGAAGATAATGAAGAATTCAGGAATTTCGCATATTTCCCTTGACTGTTTACATGTAATTTGTTGGATGCACACGTAGTATACATCAAAAACCATCAAAGTGTGACGTTATCAGGTTACGAATCCTCTGTTTCACCAAATAAATGTGAGGAGATAAAGGTTGAAACTCAGTTTGAATATCTGTATGAAGTACCGTCTAGTTTAACATGGATAAGCGAGGAAGAAAGATGCTGATTTAGATCTAGAATAGCAGATATAGCTAAAAAGTTTGTGCAAGTGAAACGCGGAAGTGCAGAATTCTCAGGTGGGATTATCAAAACTCTTTAAGCCAGCTGCGGCGAAATGAAAATATACTGAGACCCGATTGGGGATTAGCAGTTGCAATATTTAAAAAGCAGGAATACATCCGGAAAACCCAGACATTTGTTTCGGACTCTAATCGTTTATTTCGTGAGTTGGCAGGTCGCAACAAAACCAAGCAAATGTAAAAGTTAATAGACCATGAGTTGGAGAGGTTAATGAAAGCGAGAATGATTGAGGCAACAAGTATGACACAGCCCTGTCCTCCGGAATCTCGACTTCCTCATATGCATGGCTCAAGGAAAGCGAACAAGGAGGGTATCACCTCAAGTCCAACTATCTATAAATGGTAAGCGCGCCCGATGGATGATCAAGCTCATCGAGCCCATCCAGAAGGAACTGACCAAGTACAGCCTGCGAGATATTCCCAAATTTGTCAAAAATACAGGGAATTTAAATGTTATGAAGCAGTTGGCCACCTTTAATGTATGCTCACTATTCACGAACGTCAATTTGAAAAACACGTTGAATGTTATAGCTAGGTATGCTGACAAAGTTGGGTTCCGAGCGCTCCAAGTCCAGTCGTTATTTCATGTGTGCAAGAAAGATATTCATTTCCGATCCAATGGAGCCCTGTATGGACTGATCAACGATGTGACCATGGGCAGTCCATTGGACCCAGTTTCGGCTTCTATCTACAAGGGCCACTTGGAAAACATCGAGCTATGTTCTTATTTATAAAATACACACTTTTGTTGCCGGTGTATTGACAGCACGTTAGTCTTTGCGCACCTCAACAGGGGGCATCCTTACTAGAAATAATGAACAATTGTCATCCCGCGATCAAGTTCAAGATAGAAAACGAATCCAGTAGATGATTCCCTTTCTTAGATGTTAACTTACAAAAAAGCCAGGCAGTTTACTTATTCAGTCTGCATACCGAAATCAAACATGACCGAATAAAATCTCTACTTTAATAGCTTCTGATCTATGAACTGCAAACGGGCATTAGTCTGTACCCCATTTGTTAGGGGAAGTCAAATTTGCTCTCCGGACCCAAGCAACAATCAACTGGAAAGCGTTATATCGACATTACAAGTGAATGGAAGTCTCGAGCGATTCAAAGTACAGCACGCGAACTTACAATCTTTAGCTGACGTTCCAAAGCAAAATGCATTTAGTGCGCTGCCGTTTAACGGGAATCAAGTTGACATGAGAAGTGCAATTACGCGGCTGCGATAATGGTATTGTACCAAATCAGAAGGTTGGCGTGCAGATACAACATGGACAAACCGGTTTTCTGCACCCACCTATTTAGCTATAACTGTAGTAGAAAGTACATAAACTGAACTGAGAGAAGTCTGTCAAGAAGGATTGCAGCGCATGTCCCACGTAATATAGTTGCAAATGGCCCAAAGCTACCGACCTGCTCGATTGCCCACCAAATGCTTGATAACTCTGTGTGCCAAAGCCCACATAGAGGATTCATGGTAACTAACAAACAAAGCAACCCCTGGACATTTAAGCTCACTGAAGTTTCAGCGATTCGACGGTTGAAATTGTTTGTGCAAACAGGCGGATTTCGTGACCAGCCTCGCATTATCCGTGTGAGACTAGTGATCGTTTTTCCTAAGACCGGAGACACGTGAAAGCAATGGCTTTCAACTTTGAATTGCAATGATAACGTCACAGGTTAAATGTCTTTTATATATGCAACCTAATCATTCCACAAATTGTATGTAAACAGCTGAGGAGTATACGCGAAATTGCTGAATCTAGTATATTCTGTGAAGATGTGTTTTCTTCTTGCTATGCTGAAATTTGTGAATGGAAAGGCATGCATGAAATTTATGATGAAAATGGTTGAAATAAATTGCTTCTCTGAACGAATAGTTTTGTTGCCAAACATTCCTAGAGTAAAGCTAATGAATCACTATGTGAAGGAGCATAGGTTATGAGAGTGCATATCGAAGAATCTGAAATGCAAATATGTGGCGTTGACAGAAGACAAATATGTCATTCGCTCCAACCACACATGTGAGTTGCTTACCTGCTGAAAATATTCCTCCAGTAAACAGTCCACCCATGGCTCGCTCACTGACAACGGACGCACTTCATTGGAGATATCGCAACATTTGATGAGCAGCATTTTGAGCTTATGTATGAAAAGCAAGCAGACAGTGTGATATAGACCGTGAAATAACCGAAACTACTGAGGGGAATTACAAGCTTCCTACTTTGGTCCATCTTTGCTTAGACAGGCTCATCCGTAAGAGGAAATGCAAGAGAAACGGGGACTTGAGTGAGCGCATTTAAAACGTCCAGTCTATCGAAAGGATGTAACAGTTAGTGAGGTGATTCGCCTAGCAATGCAGAGCTCGTGTTGCTCTGGAATAAAAAAATGTTGGCTAACTGTCACCGAGAAGGCCGTGCAGCATCGTACAACAGTGAAGTTACAGCAAACGCTAGACAAACAAGTAAATGTGCTAATTTCTTTGGTTAATGTCCCGATACTACACCAACTAAACCGATCAGAGTTGAGAAGATATTCCCGTACCAGGCAGTCTCATGTGTTCATGCTTACAAGCCACCTGGTGATACAAGCGTTAAGGCTCAAGCACAAGTTCGTACTCTTTATCAAAGTGCTAAGCGTAGTGAAATAATCTAAAGAGTGGAACTTACCACACCCAGCGAGCAATTGTGTCCCACTACTTAAATTTAAATCGTTAACACCGGTGATCGTATCTTGAAAGAAACTGATCATGACCCAAAGCAAGCCTGTTGGGTGACGCGGTTATCTGAAAACGACTCGTTATGTTTATGATGCTGTATTACAGCAGGACATTACTGGTAATAAATGACAATTTCTCTTGCACTTTTTCAACCTAACATGCTGATGCCATCAATCTACTGGTGACTCATTTTTACCCGTAGTGGCCAGTGGACAACTGTGTACCCGTACTATGCTCAAGCCTTTGAAATTTCTATCCATCAGGCACCGATTGGATCAGGTCAATCGTCATCTTGTCTCAGTACTGTACTTTCACTTGCGATTGCATATTGTCGTCGTTGCGTTACCGTCAGGCAATTGACGTACAGCCCAGTACACACTAATGCTTGCAGCTGGTTGCGACTTATTCTCTAGTTCATTGGACTGTAGCGCTAAGCATTTTGACATGTTCACGAGTTGTTTTACATTAAAACGGTTGTATTGCAGTTAACAGTGCCATTAACCTGCCGAGCAACTGAACTGAAAATATCGCAGATCGAGTCAATTTCAAGCTGCTCTTTTTAAAGTAAACTGAGCTGGCCAACTAAATAGTTTTAGCAGGAGAAAATCGTACTACAGCGCAATATGCATACACAAACGTATTTATATGCACACAATGCTCACAGTATCACGATGTTCTTTCTTGTCCCAACTGAAGCCTCCTTCTATATATCTCTGCATAGCATCCAAAATTTCTCCATGTCTGGCCATGTCAGTTGACAGAATCAGGGCAGTCATGCTCTGAAAATGGAGGTCAAAAACCAGTAATAACGCATTTTATTGCAGCTGACATGTACATATGCGGAACTGAAAGGGATTCCTACAAGCATACAGAACCAAAGGTCTTGGTTACTTGAATGGACAAATTTGGGCACTACACACAGCGGTGGGAGCTTTCACAGACTCTTCACTGGTTGACAGCATTGTAATAATTAGTCAGCTGACGTCATTTTCTGTTTGAAATTGAAGCATCTACATCTAATTAAGTTCGTACAATGTTGAAAGAATTGTACTTCTTCAATAGATTCCGTCCATACTTCTGATTAAGAAACGAACCCGAGTGCGGCATAAGATATCTCTTAGGGAAGGCTTGCATAAGATCACTATGGTTGTGGCAAAGGCTGTGCGAGTCTGCTCAAAGAAACGTCGTTTTACTATACAGCAAAGACGTGGCAACCCTGTCGTGATATCCTTCGGAGTATCATAAACGAAGTCTGGGCCTCGATCCAAATGGTAATTAATCAAGGAATGCAAGCATTTTAGATCTAGCACCTATTTGTTGCCCAGTGCTCGGAGTTTGCTCATATCCGTTCCGCTATGAAAATAGCACTTATTCCACGCACATACACGCTTTTGCACTATATATTGTGCCCCCAATTGCTTATCAGTGGATCGCGTCAGGTGTGCAGAGAACCCACCGTAATCTGCAGTTTGCGCCTAAGTATGACTTACCTCTCGTCCACTGCTATTGTACCATTCTTCTAAGGTTTGTGCCTACGCTGCCTGCTCTATGTATGCTCATTATTTTTCTTATTCGCTTGACGTGGGGTTTCTGGAAATATGCACGTGGCACGGACATCCGGATGCCATGTGTTAGCTTGCCCTGAGAAATGTTAACTTCTCTTATTTTTCAATGATTGTATTTCATTTTTCTTGGTCCATGTTGTTCCAAAATTTGTTTCACTCTAGAATCTAACTTTTCGGCTTTTGGAATGAGTTATACTGCTGGAAATGTTGATGGTGACTAAACTGGCCAACTCGTCATGCAGATGGATCCCATTTATCGCTTGCCATTTTTAAGACCAATCTTCATACTTAAGCTATTAGGTGCAACTCGTTCGACCCTATCCACTTGCCATCCTGTCTATCTACAGGAGTTACCGCTTAGCCCTGTGTTCTTAACATCGGATGAAACCAACCGTTAGGATGGCCTGAAGGACGCCGTGATAAAATACATTACTCTCTCAGAGAAACTGCATCTGTAAACGCTCTTCCGTGACCTTCACCGAGCAATTAAACAGTTTGCAATTTCTATGTTAGAGAAACATCGTCCACTATATGAGTGGTGTGTGACCGAGCGCTTGACACGCGCTTTTGCTGTATCGGTTGCCCGAAAACGTGCAAGCCATCTTATTACTTCCTAAACCGTGTACCCGCCACATACTCCAGATATCACAGATTTCAAACGGAACTACTATATGGAGACATTTTCTAGTTTGTCTACGATAGCCTGTCAGAAAACATATCACGCCAAGAACAGCCTATTATTCCATTAAGGGACAGTTGAACCAGTACACTAACGAAGGTACTTCGGCGGAGATGGCTATACAACGCAAGCACTTTAACGATTATATGCGAACCACCAGCTCTGTAAACTGAACACTCTACGACGATCAAGGCGTTGACACAAATGAAGCACGTAATGTTTTCGCAGCCAGATAAACGATCGGGCATTGTACTAATGAATAGGCATGACTACATTTCGAAGATGAAGTCCATTCTGGGAGACAGGCGGAAGTTCTAGCTAGATAATACACTGGAAAATAACATCTTGGTGGAGAAGCAAGTGGCAAGGAAACTCCAGCTTCTCATGCTACATGGTTACACCAATGAGTCGCAATACATGCACTTAAAACCGGCTGGCACGTAGACACCAAGGATGAGAGGCGCTCCCAAGTTACACAAGATAGGCAACTCGCTACGTCCGATTATGGGTATGAACGTTTCGTCTTATCACCATGTTGTGCAGTGGCTCGCGAAACTATTAGACCTGGTGGGTAAACTACTCGTTACGGATTGTCTGAAAGACTCCTTTGAACTGGCCGAGACGCTGGAACAATTGTCACTGAGTGCGGAGCTCACGTACCCAATAGAGGTGAACTCCTGTTCCTAAACGTGCCTTTATGTGAGACGGTCGATCATTTATGTGATTTTATCCTGAGCCAGAATATGTCTGTGGGCTTGCCAATAGAGCATTTAAAGGATATGATTCTATTGTGGACCAAGAACATACGGTTTGAGTTTGAGGGGACCGTATACAAACAGGTCGACGGGGTTGCTATGGGCAGCCCTCTGGGATAAGTTGTAGATGACATCTTCCACGACTTGATAGATAGGCAAGTTGCTGCCAGCATTGGTGAAGCGAAATTGTACAGACGATATGTGGATGACATTTTAGTCTTCAACAGCGTAGAACATTTTACGCGGCTGCTAACCATTCTGAATTCGAGTCCCCGTAATCTATCGGTATCCCAGGAAGTGGATCAACACGGTTGCCTACCGTTTTTGGACATATTCATTAGCGGACGGGTTGAATGTACATTGCAGCGCATTGTCCATTGCAATTCCACTTGGAGTGAACAGCACTGATTTTTTAAGCTTCACCCCGGTCACATACAAACGCGGCTTAGTGAAAACATTCTTCTACCGTGCTAGACGTATCTTTAGCCCCGAAACGTTAAAAGTTGAAGAAGAAATTCTACGCAAGACCTTACTTTCTGAGAAGTTTCTTCAGGTACATAGCAGACTTCCCAGCAGGAAAACACCGGTGCTGACGGCTAAGTAAAAGGATGTGTATTTATGCTGAACGTTCAAAGCGGACACTGTGGCAAATAATATCGGACGCAAGCTCCGCTCCGCCCTAACGCGCACCTACACGACCGCCCAGTTGCGACACATGCATACCACGAGAGGACGGGTTCTTCATGACCGTAGGAGCATCTCGTCGAGTAGTTCAGCGTCTCGCGTTGTTTATCAGTGCAGCTGCAGTTGCAGTGTTATTTACATATGCAGAAGTAGCCGTCAGTTAGCTCAGTGGGTAGCTGAACATTTGCCAAAGTGGGTGGGACAAGTGATGACGCAACAAAACGGGACGGAGATGGGGATTAATCAGAGCCCGGCATCGCCTATCACCAAGGTCCCCATGGCAACCGTCATCACGTGAACCCTGAGATCGCAATCAAAGTCTTAGTGCGCAACAAAAACTCGCTAATGTTGGCAATTAGTGAGGCGTTGCTCATTAACGCCCATCAACCTGTGCTATGTGCACAGAAACTCTTGAGGCAAGCAATTCGGTTGCTTTGGTCCTGTCTGACATTTTGGTTGGTGTTGCTTGTTTTTCCATGTATATAATAGTTTGTGTGTTTCTGCTCGTATGGTGTATGCGACTGAAGAGAACAATCAAAATGTTGACATATCACAACTTATGTCTGCTTTCTGCCTTTACGAAATTGTCTAAAGGGACCCACTGTTTTAATTGTCCGGACTCAAAGATTCTGATCTTTTTCCTAACTGAATATAGATTATCCTTTGGACGTCACAAGTTATAATGTTTTAACGTGAAGGACATGTATGGAAGATTTGCCTGCGACACACAATTTGGGATTCCTGAAGACATATGACGAGGGAACGGAATAATAATTGCGACACATGACTATTAATAACAGCACAGACAATCGGTTCGAGGGCAACACCATTTGAGCAACCGAGACGACAATAACTTGCGATGAAAACTCATTTCATCGTTTGTGTCTATTGACACTACCGCATTCACAAGACAATTTGTTAGTAAAATACGGAAATAACTTATGATGTCGAATAGCTATCACACCTCATGTATTGTAACTCATGAATCTTCTCAGTTGCTTTGTTGATATTGCATGACTACACCAACACGCTCATGCTTTCCCGAGAAAAGGGGGAAGCCGTCAATACTGGATCGGATATTCACCAAAGAAGAAGTAAGGATCGAGTGGCTGATTGTCGACATCCCCTTGAGCCGCAGCGATCACATGATCCTACTCTTCGAATACATTTGCTATGCAGCATCTCCCATGGAAATTTCAGACGCAACAAAAACGATTATGCGCTACGACATATTAGCTCGACTAGGTGAGACATCCAACTGGACCTTCTGAGAAACGAGGCACCAGCTTGTGCATGGGAACGTTTCGTCAGTCAGTTTAACTCTCTGCTTACCGGAGTATCAGCGACTAGGACCTTCCGCCCGAGAAACGTGGTCTCGTTTCTGTGAAGCCTGACACGCAAATGTATAGAGATGCAAAACAGCCTGGCATCTCTACAGGTTCTCCCTGAGCACCGATAATTGGATGACATATGCGATGCAACGCAACCACTGTACTCAGCCTTTTAGCGAGGATAGGATGGCATAACAACAGAAGTTGACGGTGTGTGTGGCTATAAACCACTAGCTGAACACGAACTCAACTAGAACTCAACACGTCAACAGTCTAGGTAACGTGAACCAGGGAATTCCTCCTCTTCAAACAGCAGACGGACCCACACAGACACCGAAGAAGGCGGCAAACACCCTGCGCCTACAATGTGCTGCAACATTTCAGTGCGATCGTTAGCCACATAACCCTATGACAATAGTTGTTTCAACGCTAAAGCTCACCATCATATACTTCACGCCAGAAGTTGGATTAAAAACCTGTTGGGTATGCGTAAGCACAGCACATCTGGAGTTAATAATATACACCCGAAGTCGCTAACGACGGTAGGAAAGTCTAGCTGAGCGTTTTACTCTATTCTGTTTTGACTGTTTTGACGAAATGTACGTGCCCGACATGTGGAAATACGGGGTAGGTTACTTCTAATCACAAGGCAGAGAGTCCTTCCAATCCAGCCAACTACCGTCCAATAATCTTACTGCCGGTTTTTTTCAAAGATCATGGAAACCATTATTTCCGATACGCTAACGGCCTGCTTAAAAGAAGTTA